AAATCCCAGCAATAGAATTCTGTCATCTGTCTTGAGTTCTGCTCTTAGGCTTGCCAGGTACAAAGGGTGGTCCTTGTACTTTGCTTAAAAGTCAATTTCAGTGGTAGCTTTTCAAAAAGTTGACCCTGCATGGCAATACTGTTCCCAGCGTGTTACCTTCATACACTAGAATAGTGTTTTGGTGGTAGAGAAAGCAGCTGAGGAGCTGGTAGGACTCTTGTTTTAAATCCTGCACCAGTCCTGAAATCTGTAGCTGAAGTGGAGGTGGATGTGTTTTGTCACAGTTACATCTGATATGTGTGGGTCGGTACACTTTGGAATCTGACATACTGGTAAGTCAAAACAGCTTTATTGTGCTGCAGTTGATTCGTCTGTAAGTTAATGTGTCTGTATCTAATTACCTTATAAATCTCTTGATTTCTCAGTGGGGCATGCATAAATTACTGTTTGCTGTCAGTGTGATAAGGAAGCTCATATGCCTGTGTTACCACAGATGCTCTGAACTCCTGGCTTTCCCAGTAGAACAGTAGAGGTTTAAAAAATCGGGGGATTTATGTGACTCAGTGCTTTGTTTCTTGCAGGCTAAAACTCTTCCTACATGTGGGATGTAGGCAAGCAAGATGTGTCCCTACTATGATGCAGGAACCTGCCTTTACTTCCCAGCCTGCCCAACAATCTTTCACCAGACAGGAAAACAAAAACTTTCTTAAAAGTGCTTAACTTCAGGGAATCTCTCTATATCTGACATTCCTTACCTAACTGTTGTAGGACTCCTCCTACATTTTGCTCTTATCCTATTTCATCCAAAGAAATGTTGTGAAGGGGCTGTAAAATGATGTTGAGTTTATTACTGCCTGGTAACACTTACAGGCATGCCTGGTTCGGGAAAACGAGTTTTTATGTTATCAGAAATGTGCAACTACATTGTTTGGCCTTTTGTTACTGCATGCTCTAGCTTGAGATGAGGGAAATATCTATGGGCATCTGCACATTGTAGAAAAATCTGATTGTTTTGTTGTCTGTTTCATCCTCTTGGAATAAAAGGCTGTAGAAGCTCACTTACTGGGTTCTGTAAAACAGTAGTACTGTCATCAAAGTTTCCTTTTGTTGACTTCATAGTCTTGTTCTGTTTTCTTGATAATATATCCTCCAACTCTCTCCAAACTGACCTCAGGAATACTGTGCATTTGTGGCTAATGCTGTTGAATTATTTAACGCTGTTAAGAGGTTTAGTGCGGCTGCTAGAAAGATTACCATGAGGTTATCTCCTTGTCCTGTGGAGCTTTGTCTGTTCTGTGTGTGTGTGAGAATTGTTCACCAAATGGGAAGAAGAATGTCAAGTTAAGTCTTGTATCTCATAATCTTGTCTCTCAGTTTCTGTACCTTGCTGGTCACATTCTTGGTCTTACACAGGAGTCCAAACTCCTGGAGCCTGATTCTGTTATAACTGCTAATCTGCAAGAATAAGAATTATTTGTGGGGGTCTTCCAGCCTGCTAGCAAAATAAGTTCTTTCAAAACTTCAGTTGTTTCTGCTTCTAGTAGCTAAGTAATTAATGAGCATAATTCTATAAAAATGCACTTTTCTTTATCAGCAGTAAGAGTTCAAAGGATAAAATTAGTAAAAGTGAAAAATAAAAAAAAAAGTGAAATTAACAGTTTTGAACTCCCTCATCTTCCAGTAACTATTTTAGCACTTAGAGCTGTCATTGTTAGGGATTGCATGAAAGCCATGAGAAATGCTTCATCACAGATATTCTGTTTGCTTCAACTACCTAATTCTTAAATATCAAGTCTGCACTGAACTATCAGTGTGTATAAGGCTAGTATTGCTTATGGTACAGATTCAGCTTTGCTATCTGTTATTGAAAGGAACTGTTTCTGATTTAACTTTTAGTAAAACAACTTTTCTTTACAAATACTATTCCAATATATTAAGTAAAAGATGGATTTTCAAGCAAATTTATAGGAAGCTTTATAGAAAAGGCTGTATGTAAGTATGTGTGTATGTGTATATGTGTATACATGCATATATAAATATATATATATTTTCTCCTTCCACTTCTTGCTCTCCCTGGGTTTTAGCTTTTCCTACAGACACTTTTCTGCTTTAGGATGAAATAGTTGTAATTTTTCTAATTATGGTCCCTGAACATGAATCTGTAGTATGCCACCTTCTATTTACAGGTAATCTTTTCTGTGCAGTCTGATGCTTTCGTCCTGTGGGTAAAAGAAAAATGTTAATTATGGGCTCCTGTATTGAAATGTATTCACACACTTGGAGCCAGTGGTGTAGCTGTGTTTGGCACTTAAATGGAATAGTTTGGTTTGGTTTGGTTTGTGAAGGTTTTTCTGTAGTCTTTGATTTTGTCAGATCATGGCTTCTGTTCCTCGGAAACACACGCTTCCTGGTGTAGCAGTGGCTTCACAGTACTGAAAGACAAATACATACTGCATTTCTGATTCTAGAAGAAAGAAAATGTTTATCTTTTTGATCCAGGAGAATTCAGAGAGATCAGCTGTGTGTTCTTCCTAATACAGGTTTTTCTTAATGCGGCATTTTTGTTTGAGCAAAATTCTTTTCAAAAGGTAGCTGAAAAACAAAGACTGTATTTTAACTGAAAATGTTTAAAGCATTTATTAAAAATAAGCTGCCTTTTAAGATATCGTTTTCTAGATTTTCCTTGTATTGAAAGGCGGTAATGTGGCTAGCATTCATAACTAGGAATTACTGTGACCTATATTGCTTGTATTTACATCACTGGTTTTGATGTCTGTTTCTTCAAATGTACTGCATTTGTAATGTGTAAAACTTTTTTTTTTTTTTTTTTTTTCTTTCCCCTCCAAGCAATAAGGGCAGTGTCATATTGTAGACATTTCACAGTACCTTTGAAATCGTTTGGACCGATTTCTTGGTTATAATGTTCTTGCTAATAGATGAGTTCATAAATGGCTTTTGTTATAGTAATGGAGACAGCTGCTCTAAATCTTTACTTCATTTGTAGATTAAAAAATTCTCTCCCTTCTCTCTGAGTCTTTTTTGTTTGTTTGTTTTAAAGTAACTTTGCAGTTTGCTACAATTAATGAAATTCTTATTTTGTCCTTGCAGAGGTCAAGATAATCACAGAATGGTTGAGGTAGGAAGGGACCTCTTGAGATCATCTAATAAAAAAATCCTGTTCAAGCAGGGACAGGTAGAACAGGTTGTCCATGACTCTGTCCAGTCAGGTCTTGAATATCTCCACAGATGGAGACTCCACAGCCTCTCCAGGCAACCTGTTTCCATGTTTGCCCATTATCACAGTAAAAAGGTGTTTTCTTGTGTTCAGATGGATTTTCATGTATTTTGATTTGTGCCTGTTGCTTCTTGTCCTGTCACTGGGCACTGCCAAGAAAAGTCTGGCTCCAGCTTCAGTCTATTTCGTCAGGTTTTTATATGCATTGATAAGGTCCCCATCAAAAATTGTATTCTCCAGGTGACCAGTCCCAGATCTCTTATCCTCTCCTCATACGAAAATTGTTCCAGTCCCATTATCAGCTTCATGGTCCTTTGCTGGACTTGCTCCAGTATGTCTATGTCTGTCTTGTGCTGGGGAGGCGAGAACTGGACCCAGCAGTCCAGATGTGGCCTTAGCAGTGCTGAGTAGAGGGGAAGAATCACCCCCTTAACCTGCTTTTAACACTCCTAATGCAGCCCAGGTTAGTATTTGCCTTCTTTACCATGAGGGTGCAGTTGCTGGCTCATGCTCAACTTGCTGTCATCCAGGACCCCAAAGTCCTTTTCTGCTGAGCTGCTTTCCACCTAGTTAGACTGCAATTTTTCAGCATCTCCTGGTCCCTCTGAATGGCGCAGCCATCTTGTCTATCATCCACTCCATCAGTGGATGGAGTGACCCTGGCTTTGTCTAACCAAGGTGCTGCAAACTCCAAACAATGGAGACACCACCTATGACCTACCTGCTGACCTGTCTGCACTGCACAAGAAGGGAAGACGGTTCCCCCAAGGCCCTACTTGGATCTCTCAAGCTACATCTTGTGTCTGTTTCTTGCTATTGCATCTTCTGACACTGCCCAAGAAGGATTTGGCTCTGACCACACTTCAGGCAGCTGAGAACTGCTATTACATCCCTCTTAGCCTTACCCTCATCAAACTAATCATAATCGTCTCTCCTTATCACAGGCCCCAGGACCTTGCTATCTTGGTAGCTCTGCACTAGCTTCTACTCCTTGTAGGAAGTGTGCAGACTGGACACAGTAGGACCCACCTGTTGGTGGGTGTAGCCTTCTTGGGACCAAGGGTGAAGGCATGACAAGCTTGCCCCTTGATTTGCTAGCTGTGCTTCTCCTAACAAAGACCAGTTTTTGGTTTGCTGTATTCAGGAGGGCAGTACACTGTTCCTTTCTGTGAAGCTTCAACATGTTTATTTATCAGTGCTAGTTTAAAGAAATACGTGTTCCTTAATACAATGGGATCCATGCTTTAGTTAACAATGCTTTTGTTTAGTGTTGTTACTCTAGTCCTATCTCATTTTCTGCTGATAGAGGTAACTGCAGAGAATTTCTTTATCAGCATACTGCGGGATGTATTTTTTTGTGATCTTTGTATCCTCAAATTGCACTCCTGAATGATCTCCTCTTGAAGAGTTGACTGCATACATAAATTTCGGTGTTCTTGGGGATTTATGTATAGTTGCTTGTAAGTGTGCTTTACACAGGCTGACAGGAATTGTGTGCTTCCTGTAATCTGGCTCTATGCAAGCTGGGGAATGTTAGTGAGGGCATGAGACTGGTTGCGCTGTGGTTGTTAGCTGGAGCAAACTTTTGCTTCCAGCCAGTTACCGTATGTAGAGGTAGAATTTAGAAATCTTGTACAAGCTTGCCATCTGTATAATTATATGGCTATTAAGGAATGGATGGAAGTTGAATGCTCTAAAATTATTGACTGCTATGATAAGGCATGGTTAGTAGTGATGCTGACACAATTTTCTTTCTCGCCAACAGAGTTTCAGAAGCAGGAAGGCATGAAGTCCCATCAGAAAAACATGCAGCTCTATGAGACACCCTATGAAACAGAAGGCAGTGGTGTTGAATCTGATTCGGAAAGTGTGGTGAGTCACCATTTACAAGAAAGCAAATTGCCACAGGATGATGACAGGCCCGCAGATGAGTATGATCAGCCATGGGAGTGGAACAAAGTCACCATCCCAGCTCTGGCAGGTAGGATTCCTAGATCCCAAGCAGGAAATTCTGTCTCTCACTCATGTCATATGTAGTTGCCTTTGGGAGGATTCAAGTATATTTTGTGCGTGTGTGTATGTGTGAATCTCTGAAATGCAAATGTGGTTAGTCTCAAATCTTTACCTGCTGTGGAACATTGCACTTCTTGTTTGGTGCTTCAGCTGACCTGTTGTCAACCGTCTCAGCACTTGGTTTATGCTAGTAAAACTTCTGTTTCTTCCACTTCTTGCCCTTACCCTGGTTTTAATGGATGTAATGTAGGTAGTGTTTATTGTTGAGGGAGTTCCTTTGCAAGGTCCTTAAGTTGCGGGCAATTCTTAAAGGTGCAGGAAAAAAACAGCTGTGTAATATGCTGCAGTAACATATTTCCACTCAGTGACAATTTCTTGGTATTTGGAGTATTTTCATGATAATTGCAAGCATTTCTGTGGATATGTAGAACTTGGTTTTGTGTTAATCCTTTCTAACTGTTGAAGTTCTTCCACATCAGCACTTGTCAGTCAGGAAGATAGATAAAAACAGTTTTCTGTCTCTGTGAATGTCTGTGCTTGGTATTGGTTACACTGCTCCTTTTTTTCCCTTATGTTGCTTTGTGGAAATGGCTGAGAGGGGCTTCATTCAGTGAGTATGTGATTCTAAAGGCCAAGGCTTTTTCTTTCGTAGAACCTCTGTGTGCCCAGCAAAGCCCAGCTGTTATCAGTTGGTCTGACTATGTTCCAGGATGCTCTTGTGGGGTGCTGGAGTCATACATGTTCTATGATTTTCCCCTCAATGGCATATTCTAGTGAAAAGCTGTGTTGGCGAGTAGCATTGTTCCCCTTCCTTTTTGGAGTTGGCTTAGCAGAAAGCTTGGAGAGGAGAGTTGTGTGTGGTGATGATTGTGAGAATGAGGAGGGAAGAAAAGAGATGTGGCTCTGGGAGGGAGCATGGAAGAAGCTTGAGAGCAATGCTTCTGGTTAGTCAGTGTGTATTTACCCTTGATAAATCCTGCTTGACAAACCTGTTTGCTCTCTATGTTGAAAATACTAGATCAGTTAATGGAAGGAGAGTGGTAAGTGTCATCTGTGTTGACTTTAGCCTTCAGCATGTTGTGCTGTGGTACCAGCTGTGTTAGCTGGTTTGGAAGGCTGAAACCTAGATGGGTGGATTACTGCTGTGTGTGAAAACCTGTCAGGGTCATTGCCTGGCTGTGAGGTCCTGGCTATGATTTGAGATATCTATTGTGTGTTAAGATAGGCTAATCAGCAGAGATGTGCATCACCAGGTTTCTAGTGCCACAATGGCTGTTTTGCAGATGCTGAATATCAGTCTGGAGTATGTGTGTTAAGCCTGCTGCTTTGCGTTTTTACTATGGCATTGATGTCTGCCCCAGTTCAGTAGATACTTCTGTGCCTTTTCTTGTGTCCTATGACAGCAGCAATGCTGCCTTTGCCTAAAGCATATGTGCAGCCTCCATTTCCTGACGGGTGGGCCTTACTACACAGCAGCATAGCCCACAGTAACTCTGTTGTAGAGGGGCTGCCTGCTACCTGGAAGGATCCACAAGCTACCCACAGCATGTGTAGGGGCTGTGCAAAGCCACAAGCAGTAGATTTGAGTGGGTTTTAGGCTGCTTTCTGTGTTGTTTTCCAGAGAATTTCTCTATTCTCCATTCCAGATTCTGGAGGATATTCCACCATTTTCTCTGCCACCACATCTGCTTCTTGCCCATCTTGCTTTCTTTTGTTTGTGGTCTTGTCCCCTTTCTTTTGTCTCACAGAACTGCATCTATGTCTAGACCCTCTCATTCATCCTTCTAGCTGACACTGGTCCCACCTTTTTACCTTCTTATGTCTGCTTGGGATTTCTGTTCTCCCTCCTTCAGATACCTGTTCCGTATCACCCAAGACCCTGTCTTATTAGCTGTATGTGCATTTCTGCCCACAAGGAAGAAGGATATTGTGCTTTCTCATTTCATCCCCATCCTTCTAGGCCAGATGCCATGGGAATGTCTGGGATACAGTGACAATAGATTGCTGTTGAAGAGCTCTTGCAAGGAAGCTGAATAGTTAATTCTTGCCGACTGTGTTAGCTGAAAGGCTTCCTGTTATTTTTAGTGAACCTGTCCAGTGTTTGCTTGGATGGAGGTATGTTTAGCTATTCTTGCGTGAGTTCTTGGGGTTAGAGCTACTCTTGAGCAAAGAATATTTTGAAGGTGAGAGGGTAAGCAAAAGCCCTTGGACTGCATAGAGGAGTGGGGAGGAACAAATGATTGAGCAGGTGACAACTAAGTTTTCCAAGCTGGAATTCTTTAGGGCTATTTATCTCTCTGCAGCTTGTTTCTGTGGTTTAGTGTAGCACAGGGATTCTGTGAGTTGAGTTTTTCCTTACATACTAGTTCTGATAATTTTCCAAAGGCTAAGAGTAATATCAGAGTTATTGTGAGCTTCTCACACAAAGGTGATAATTGTGTGCTTCCCAGAAGTAATTTTTCTTTCAAAGTATGCAAAATACCTAAAGCGGAAACTTCATTGTTTAGCGACACTGAGATACAAGCTGTGGGACCAGTAAATGTCTGTCTGTAGTGAGATCACACTTTATAGATTTCTCAATTAGTAACACAGCAGCCACAGAAATGGGATTATTAGTTTTAAAAGTTACTGTCTTAAGAGTTTTATGTGTGCATATGGAAATCTTAGACTTTTTTTTCATGTATCGTTTGTATTATATGAAATGGCTGATTTTTAATTCATTGAATCCAGAGAACAAATTTATTCGTTTCTACTGCATATTTTTTGTGCACAACTTGTTGGGTGTTCGTTGAGTCTTTGAGCTCTGTAATCATCTTCGTGCCCACTTTTTTGGTCTTATTCAGGTAAATTCTGAAATAGTTTTTTTGAGTGTTGATTTAAAAAAAAATAATTTTAGTTTTGTGGATTTTTCTTCATCTGTAGCTTTCAGTTTGTCCACATGTAACTGTAAATTAATAAGGTACAATCCATCCAATATAAGATTTTATGATTGGCCTATGTGTAAATATTCTCCTAAGCATTATGTAAGCACACTAAATTAAAATATTGCTTTATGAAAGTAACAGACTACGAAGAAGTTTAATTAAAAAGTATTATTGTATGGTTGAATTCCTTAGGATTAAGCATGCAGAGTTCCATTTTAAAATAGTAAGAGAGTAAACATTTTTTAAGAGTAATTAGATTTCTTTGATTGCATCCGTCATTCATTATAACTTAGTATGTCTTAGGTACCTGGTTATTTGTGATGAAGTAACGTGTAAGGACTGGTTGCAAGCATAGATTCAAGCTGCTGTCTCATCTGGTGTCTCTGTACTTAATCTAACTCCTAGGAATTATAAACATTTAAAGTAAGGAAAGAAGAGGTCCAGCTTCTAAGTCTGAAACAGTGGATGGTTTGCAGTGGAGAAGTATCGACCCTCTATGGACATGTGTGAAGTGCTTTCCTGACTTGTGGGGGGGTATTTTTCAGTTTTTAGCTGAGGTGGATTTCTCTGAAGAGCACAATGTTGGTCTAAGTGGTATAAGAAATTCCAGCAATGAGCAAGTCCTACTTTACAGGCCCACAACTACCATCCCCCAACTACTTGGAGTTGTGGAAGTTATGAACCTGAAGGGACCCTCTGCTAAAACTTTCCTATTTTGAGAAGTTCATCTGAAGGGAACAATAGATAATTGTGATGTGCAGTCACAAAGAGACTTATGCAGCAAATGTTTTTCATTTGTCGGGTGGTAGACCTAGGAAACAAGCCAAAATAGCAAGCAACCCTAGAATTACTGTAAAGTTAATTACCCACGCAAGTCTTTTAAGGAAAACATTTGTTCTGCTGCCATGAGGAATAATTTCAAGATTTATTGCTGAAGCATGGATAACACTTGTTTATCTCCAACCCGGAGTTTGATGTATGCCAGACTGAAAGTATGCACGACTTGTGAAGTCTGCTCAGGTTGAGGGGAGTGTGTTTGTACTATGGCTCATAAGTGTGGGGCTGGGGCTGCTGTCATGCTGACATTGTGGAGCAAGCTATGTATAGCCTTCCTCAGGGACTTCTGCTGTTAACTGTATTACTGACAGATGTGTCTTTGTGTAGCGAAGCTAGAGTGCAACATTTTGGCTGTCTTCAGCTTAAGTTCTTTGACTAACAAATTTGGTTTTGTTTCATTGGAGGCTGCACAGCTGAAGCTGTAATGTGTTTTTGATGGCTTTTATGGGAAGTGGGTAGGTGTTGTTAGAGCTCCTGCTGAGCTAGGCAAACTGGTTTTGCCAGAAGTGCTGGGTCTGGCAAAGTAACAGGAACAAAGTAGCTTTCTGTTACGTAAGTCTGGCTGGAAAAGGAGATAGCAACACTAGAAAGCCCATTCAGGAATGTCAGGCTGACCCTGGCTCCGATTTGAGCTTGTGAGTAATCAGGCCTTTCCAGGCTGTCATGTGGGGTTAGCAAACCTTTGGGTAAAGGAAACGGATGTGAAATCTGTAGACACCATCTTAGTATTGCTTTAGAAAATAAGTGGCTCTCTGTTATGAAGAGGGCCACGTGGCAGTAGTTTCAGAGCTTTCAGCACTCATCATGGGGTCCTTGAAGGAGGATCTATAGCTGCCAAACTTGGTTGCTGTGCCGGCTGCAACTGCTCTTGCACAGAAAACTGGTGCCTAGGAACCTGGGGAACTTGAAGCAGGGGAGTTCTGGTATGCTGCCACCAGAGGGATATGGCACCAGGTACAGGGAGAGTGAGGAAGGGTCAGACATGCAGCCAGTTTCATAACTGTAATGACTATGTAAACAGAAGTGCCATAGCAATAAAAAAACTTTACAATTCCAGATGCATGGAATTGAGCTTCTGAACCTTCACTGTATATGCTACGGGTTTGGTTAAGAGGGTATTTATAGCAGCTGAAACTCAGTCCTGATAACAACATTGCATGGGTTGGTGCCTGACTGGGTATCACACTTGTCAGTTTAATCTGCCTGGATATCCCTTTACGACTGTTTCTTCCTGCCAATTTAATTCCTCCAAAAAAAACCACAAAATAGCAGGAGTCCAGAGGTATGTCTGAGCTTTTCAGACAAACATTCAAAAGCATTTGAAATTTAACTTTGTGCTGTTTTTGAAGAACTGATCCTACTTCTAACCATCATCTAAATATATTGCTGTTTACAATCAGAACTGAGTTTCATGTTTGTTTTGTGAACTGAATTTTTTGGTGTCTGAAGGATGTTCCGTGGTCAGAGGCTGATATTAATTTTATCAGTTTTCATAACATTCCTAAATTACATCCAGGTGTTTTTCTTACAGTTGAAGTAATAGTGCTGTTCATGTATGTCACTGGCAAGTACACACATGCAATGTTTTTCCTTGTTATGCTAATCAGATTTCATTATCCAGTAGTGAGGTTAAATCTTGAGTTTCCATTTTAAGAAATAACCAACATGTTTCTGCCATACATACTTCAGAATATGTTTGAATACATTTGCCCAATTTTTGCAATAATTTCTGCCTACTTTCTCTGAGTAGAGGAAGAATTCACTTAGGAGAGGTGTCCTAAGCCCCATGAGAAATTAATCTAAAAAGAACAATAAAAAAATGCTCCAAAACATTTTCCACATCCAGCACATCTCTATTCTTTATGCATTTATCTTTTTTATCTTTTTGAACATTATGGCTGTCTTCCTGTTGTATAGTGTTGCTTTAGAACAGTAAGTACTACTAGCCACACGCCTAACTGGCTGTGTGTTAAAAGTTGAGTTCTAAATGCGTGAGATCTACTACATGCATGTACGGAGTCACTTTAATTGTCCTTGTAACATTTCTCTGATATTGCTGTTGAAACTCACAGACAAGCTGATTGTGCTGTGTTTGTGTTTGCCTTCTGATACAGTGAAGTTTTTTCTGTTTGGTCCCCACTAGGTGACCTTAAAACAATCCATATGCAGCTGGAAGTATCAGTTTCTAATGAAGAAGCAAACCATAGCAGGCAGTGATAGTCAGGAAGATGGTGGGGGTAGCTCGTTTCGCTGTAAGTGTAGAATGTAGTAAGTGTAAATGTAGTAAGTGTAGAATGAGCTTTGTACCAGCATCGTTATAGTGGATACATTTTTAATTCATTGCTAATGCCGGTACTTCTGATGCGGATAGATGGGTGTTAGCTGTCTGGATTTGCACCCGGATCACTGTTGGGATGATTCCAAATAAACTGAGGCAAGCTGGATTCTTATGTTCTCACTCGTTTGTTAGTGTAACTATGGCAGTCGACCGGAAGCCAGTCTTTGTTACTGTTACTTGTTTAACAGTGTCATCTCCTGGGAATGAAAATACCAAATGTTAAGAAAAGTGCTAGTTATTGTAACAAGGTTTAGAAGACTCTGGATTTTGTTACTGGAAAAGCAAGACTTTTACTACTGTATTTTGAGTAGGTAGAAAAAACTTTGTGATACATATAACTTTTAAGATGTAGTGGTTTATCTACAACGCTAGTGGGTGCATGTTTATTCCCCCTGGGAAGTGTGAAACCTCTCTTAAGTGCTACAACTATTTTGGTCCTGGTCAACCTTGCCTGGTGGGGTAATTACTGTGTATCTTGCAGCCCAATTTAATGGAAGTGAAAAACGGCAAGCATCTTCTCCCTCAAATGACCAGTGCAGGCAGTTAAGAGCACCTGGAGGAGGCTTTAAACCCATCAAACATGGCAGACCAGAATTTTGTGGGATCCTGGGAGAGAGAATAGATCCAACTATTCAACTGGAAAAGCAGATGTAAGTAAGCACAGTAATTGCTCTCTAGCTCTTTGCCTCCCCACTTACAGGAGCAGCAAGCATCCCGGATCCTGCTCTCCAGCTCCCCCTCCTCAGTATCCCCATACATTTTGTGTGTTAAAGCTCGTAAAAAACTATTCTTATTAATCCTGTGAAGTGTGAGTAAATTTTGTGGGGGACAAAACAATGTTAACTCTGGAATAGTGAATTTTATCTGCCAAGTATGTGTGGTTATTCCACTTTCAACCATGTTGATTATATTGCATTAGTGTTGCAAATCTGCAGTGGTAAGAAAACTTACCTACACAAATTCCTTTATTAATGATGCACACCATGCGCACCAGGGACGTGGGATCCTTCCCAAAGATGTCCACCTGCATTTTGCCATCAACAAATATTTATATATTAAATTCATACATATTCAGTCTATATAATGCGTATTTATTATCATCTTCTCGATGATTGGTTGTTCTTCTCTCACTTCTGATGTAAATTAGCGCGCAGCCTCAGTCATAGTCTTCTATTGTTCTCTTTTAAGTAGGTGGTATAATTTGGGTAGGTGGACCATGAGTCGGAGGTCTCAACCGCTCCTCAAATTGACCATTTTTGGTCAAGGAACATCTCCTTGGCTCGCAGGCTCTTGGCTTGTACCTACTTCGGTCACGATTCACAGATTATACACAATGGGTACCATAATAAATCCTGTCTAGTGGACATCTTGGACTACAACATACTATCCTTGTTTCTAACCACTAACAGATTATTGGTTAATGAATACCTCAGGTCTGGAATTTTACAGGAGAATGCTAGCAGCATTGGCAATATGGATTTTATTTTATATTTGATCATTTATTCCATTTGAGACTTATTTTCTCAAAATAATCATTAGTTTTTCCTATTAATATTCACTAATTAGAATTCTTGATATTTAAATCAAGATGGGAAAAGTAAGGGGATTTCTAAGCAGTATCCTAAAATCGTAAATCTGGTGCTTTTTGCAACATTAGTATCACACTAAAGGTGTAGCCTGATAGAAGGGGCCAAAACTCCCTGTTACACAAAGATAGATAAATCTTATGGAGCAATTTACACAGGTTACACTGATATTTGTGAGCACTGAGAAGCCGATGGATTCACATAGTGAAGTAAGGAAGCTGTGTCTTGAATCCCTGAAGACAGTCTTGCTCTGGACAGTGTAATTCTAGCTTAGATACATAATTTATTTTCACAGGAGAGGGAGGGCATAATTTAGCTTTAATGTGAGTGTGCTTTTTGTGACAATACTTTGTTCCTGAATGGTAGCAGTACTGAGAGGATTAGCAAGCCTTTTGCACTTCAGATCTTCAGTAGGAGAGCATCCCCTCTGCCAATTGCATCTGAGAGAAGGTAGTTCCAGAAATTCCTTTTCCTTTGACTTTCTATTTTTATGTGCAAGATTTGGAAACTTAAGCTTGAAACAAAGCATATCACCCGCGTGGTGTCATATTGCATCTAATCAATCTCAGCCTTTGAACCATCTGCTCATTGATAGATTGTACATTTATCTCCCTCAGAGGAAGCAGGAACCACTGTGAAATCTCTCACTGATACTGTTATGTAAACAACTAAAAGTCTATACACTTGACTATAAAATTTGATCCTCAGCTTTGGGTAGTTCTGGTCAACCCTACCCCTCAAAAATACATTTAAAATACTGCAGGAAGCTGAGCATTTGTTAATTAACTTTTGACTCATAAGTATATTGTTATGTAGTTCTCTCTTCATATAACTGCAATTGATAATAACAACTGAAAACCACAGAGTTAGTTTTGCTTCCTTTAATTATTTAAGTGTTAATCACATGAGATTCTTTTTGATTCTTCATTATGCAGGATCAAATCTGAATTGAATGCAGTTAACAATGATGTCTCAGAAAATGGAAGAGTCTAAGTTTACTGTACCGTAGATTATTCATAATCACTCAAACTTCTCAAGTTTTAGCAGTGTGAGACCTCTTCACAGGATGTGCCAAACAATTCCATCTTTCTCTACAAAAATGAGAGCCTGTTTTTGTAGAAAGGAGTACAAGATCTAAAGGAAAGGAAGCATGCAAATTGACAGGTGGGTAGGTAGGTTAGGAAGTTTCCCAAACAGGCAGAAATACCAAGGTATGATAACATATCAAGAAAATACTTTCAGTTTGTTTGTGATTATGGAATCTTTAACTATGAACTTAGTGTCTCATGGACCCAGGGGAATGGAATGAATTTGTTCCATTTCCTCAAGCACAGTGAAAAGAAGAAAGCGTGTTCTGCTGTTTCCATTGCCTTATTGAAAGTGAATCCCTCCCAGCTTTATATACAAGATCTGTTAACTTCCTGGTTTGCTTTGACCATTTCAGAAATAGGGTAGTGTTGTGCATTATATGAGCTGTAATAACTGACTATACTTACTGTATAATTGATGCAGCTGTCCTGTCTTCAGTGAAGCTGTGGTCCACTTAATTGGTGAAACCTGAGCATTAAGAAAGTAAGGGACATCAGGAAGAACATTCTATAAACCACAATGAGAATGCTTTCAATCCTGGGAGGAGACCCTGATAAATGTTGAAGTGTGTGATTATGTTTGAATTTTGCTTTTGGGTTTGCATTGTTGCCTGTGTTTTCCAGAATATCTTAGAAGATATGCATGTCTTCAAGTTTTTGTCCCATGCTTTTGCATTGGTATCTTTCACAAGTTGTCATTTCATTATTTTGTGATCACATCATTGACATTTGAATCTTTGACCTTTCTGCACAGATAACTGTATGCTGACATTTAAAAAAATAGACACACCCAGGGCAAAAAGATGCAATACAATTGAAACAGCAAATTAGTCAGACACTTTAAGCTGATTATAGCACTATGCTTATCTCGCTAGCTAGCCAGAACAGGAGCCAGCTAAGTGTCCCATTTACACGGGCATATGATTCACAAGTAATTACACTTCTAGGTATTGCTGTTTACTCTCAGCTCTAGCCAAAACAGCTTCCAGGCATCACTTCTGAATCAGCTGTTCTCCCATCAGCACTTGTCTTCATACTTCAATGTTTTTCTTCCAACTTTTTTAAAAGCAGGTTTTGCTTCCTGGAACCAGCCTTGCCTTCATTTTCCATGAATATATCTGCCAACTGGGGAACACCAGGTCTGCAGAATGTATGAAATACTTACCCTGGACTCTGAGGTTCAGAGGTATCTCCTTGGTTTTGGCTAGGTCATATTTTATTCTGGTTTTATTTGGCCCTTTGTGAAGAAAAGAAAGAAAATGTATTTCTAGTTAATAGAAATATTTTTTAGACTCTTCCAAATCAATTTTCTGATTTACACTTAGTGTTAATATTCTTCCTTTACACACAGAAGACAAACTAGTCTTTAAATTGCTTGTTGAGTAAATATCTAATGGGAGATAGGGAGAACACTGTCTGAAAACATTTGCATCTGTGCCTAAATTTTATTTGTGAAGTGATGGAGCTGTTCTGGCCTCCCTTTCTAGTCTGTCTTGAATATACAGTAGTATAACCCTCTGTTTAGCTTTTTCTAATGCAGAGTTTGGTTGTAACTAGGCAGACAACAAATTTTTAATTTGAGCACCAACTTTTGTTTAGCACATTCATCAGATTTGATGGTGGAGTTGACATCAGCACAAGGTAGTTAAGAGTATGACTTCCGTCAAAGGGGTCTGTCTGGTCTTTATTCATTTACCTTATAGTTGGAACATCTCACTTAAAGTAAGTTCAGCAGAGAAATAAAATAAGAACAAATGGAAGAAAACTTTTTGCACAAGGTCGGTGACAGTTCCTGATAATAACAGACAGAGTGGACTTCTGATGTATGCATTAGCCTGCTTAGGTGTTACATAATGCCTCAAAGTGCGTCTGGCAGTTGCAGGAAGGGAGAGATCTTCCTCAGAGATGTGATTCATCCAGTGCAGGGCCAGGCATGTTACATTGCATGGGAAACTCAGGGTAAGGGTCAAAGCTACTGGACTGTGAGATTTTAATTGCTGATGCAGAGCAGCATGTGCTGAAGGGATTCTTTGTTTGTAGTGTCACATTAGGGAAGGATCCATCTCGTCTCTCCCAATTTCCTTTCTTCCCTGGATTGATCACACCCACTCCACAGATCCACCAGAGATTTACCTAAACAGCTCTGAATTGTCACAGCTGTGTTTAGAACAAGTGCCTTTGTTATAGATCTTCACACTTTAACACTTTTCACCTTTCTCAAAGATTTATTTGAGGAAACCTTTTCCACTGTTAACTGTTCATATTCTTCAGATGTGTTTTCTTTTGCCTTTGTTTGTTTTCTTTTTTATATTGGTTGAAATACTGATATATCACAGAGATGAAATAGAGTAAATGTGCATATAGTGGATCTGCTACTTGCAAGATAGATTATAATGTGTTGCTCTGAGTGGGAATTTCTTACATAAATACATATACTAATCCTGTTGCATGCTCTCCTGATCTCAGTTTTTTCCTTCAGCTGACAAGAACTACAAGCCTCCACAAGTTATAAAGTTAACTTCAGCTGATGCAAACAATGTTATTTTTGTCCGTAATATGTTAGATCTTAAATATATCCTTGTGATATTAACCATTATTCATGCCTTAAAGAAATGAAGTAGTGAAAGGAATATGAATTGGAATACGTGTGTGTGTTAATCTCTCTGCTTTTTCCTAGATGGTATCATGGAGCAATCAGTCGGACCGATGCAGAAAACCTGTTACGTTTATGTAAAGAGTGTAGCTACCTTGTAAGAAATAGTCAAACAAGCAAGCATGACTATTCTCTTTCACTGAAGTAAGTACTTGTCAGTAAAACGTAATAAATGTAACTTAAAAGCCGTAACTTCTCTGGTGCAGGAAGAAAAATGATCCAGTCTGTTGCTATACTGGTTCAGCTCAGGAGGACACCCAGAGAATTTGAGACTGTCAGTCTGAATGATGTATAGTGACAGCCACTGAGTTAGGACACTGCAATTTGGGGATGTTAAGAGATTTCTAGTCTTCATTTGGTGCCCATTTAACTAAATAAATTTGGAATTTTTTTTCTGGTTCTGATTTGAAATGCTCCTGCTGCTTCTGCTTCAGGCTGAGTAAGCAACACTATTGTTTGGGGATTTTATTCCTTTTGCTTCACACATGAAAGGAAGTCTTCTTATGGTTTACTGTGGTAAAGCTGTACAGTATTGCTATAATTCTTGAACATAAAAAGCCCAGAATCAAGGATGAAAGATCTACAGAATTAGAAAATGAGCATTGTTCCAGTCTTAGTGCTGCTTTGAACTTGCCTTACCTACCTCAGGCTGATCAGGGTATGTTACAGACGTTTGCTTCAACATGATAGAACAGAATCATAGAATGGGTTGGGTTGGAAGAGACCTTCAAAGATCCTCTATTCCAACCCTCCTGCCACAAGCAGGGGCATAAGCTCATTTGCATTTCTAGCAGAGGAAAAGTTTCCAGGTTTTCCATGAAGGAGAACAAGAAGCCCCTTGACCTTGGTATAGGCTGTACAAGAGCAAAGGCAATTGTGTCTTTTCTTTCCTTCTGACAGGATAGGGTCTAATATGGAACCTACCCGTCCAGGTAGGTCTGGGACACAGGCCTGCTTGCCTTTTTTGCTAGCATTACTCGTGCCAGTTTGGCTTTTGCATGGTTTTTTCATAGGTCTGTTCTGGAGACACATTTTACTTGATGGTAAGAAGGTAACAGTTTCCTAGACTGAAACAAACCTAATCATTTTTATGTTTGTAGGTTCAATAGAAATAGAGAGCCACATTTACAGGTCTGATGGTCTAATCAGTAAATTTCAAATTGGTTTTATATCCCCACTTTGGGTTGACTAGAAGTGCATCTGTTAACCTAGTTTTAAGATGCTCTTCTAGGGCTTAAGAAAATATTTTTGTCATGGTTTAACCTCTGCCCCTGGTTGTCGCTTTCCTCCACCTGGCTGGAGGCCAGGCCCCTCTAATCCTAATCAGAACCACTCACTTCTTGTGAAAATGACTTAGAAGTCCCTTCAAGAGGATCAGAAGTAAGATCAGCCTTTCTACACTGTCTGGGGAGTTGCTTGCTGGAAACTGAAGTGGCATTTTTCTTGGATAAATTCCCTTTTTTGATTGTTTTTCCTCGCAACTCGTGTACCTGTGCATCTAGGATTGAAGTGGGTTTTTCCATCCCACTTCCTCATGTCTTCTCTGTGGTCATGCAGGTAAAACCACAGGGTACCCTGTGGTGTTTACCTTCTATATTCCCTCTCTTGAGCAGGGGCATGCTTACTCCTAATAGCTGAGATACTGGTTTGTACAGGTTGGGAGTAGGATGTATCCTCTTGGAATTGCTGGAACTCTTGGAACAGTTTCTTCAGAGCCACGATGAGGGAGAAAGAGGTATTTTCTTTGAAACACCAGAGTTGGTGAGCCACATCATCCACCTTCGTGCCTCTTCGTCTCCCCAGTCCATTGCTGCCAATGAGTTGGTGTACAATGACAGTGCATTCCGTAAAACTTTCCAACACATAAGTCATGTACATTGGACTTCATCTGGAACTGTGGGTAACTGTGCATTGCCTGGGTCATAATGAACCATTTCTGGCATGCTAATTCCCTCAAGTATTGGTTACCTCTCTCTATGGTGGTCCACTTGCCTGGCTGGCATGCAATGTCTTCTTTGAAGGGATACGTTTCCCTCACACCTGACAGAAGTGACTTCCAGAGGCTGAGGGCTTGTGTCTTTTTCCCAATTTCTTTGTCAATACCCCCTTCTGTAGACTGGGATTCCAGCTGCTTACCTTCCTTACCCTCTAATTCCAAGCTACTGGCTCCGTTATCCCAGCATCAGAGCAGCTAGGACAACAGCTCGCCTGGACAACAGCTGAAATCTTTTCCCATATCTTGCAGCTCACTCAGGGATAGGGATTGAGTGAATACCTCTGGTTCTGCCTCTTCCTCCTGTCCTTGTGATGACTCTGGTTTGACAAGGGGATTGATGCACGGTCTGATGGATCGAAGACCTTTATTGTTTGCTACAATGTCATTATATACTTTTCTCTACTAGTACGTGCGCCACTACTGCTAACCCTATCAGCTGCTATTTAGGAGGCTCACGTTCCTCTCATATCTAACAGTCCGCACCTGCTTTCTTCCCTGTTATCTTTCTTTACTCTTGTTCAAGGTTCAGGGCAGAAACTGCCTGAATCCTATTAACTCTTTCCATCCCTTCTCTCCTCGTTCCTCCTCAATGCAACAGTGCCTGGCTGGCTTCCAAAGGTCACCTCTGACTTACTCCTATGCTGGTTCATCGTCATCCCTCACTACAGAACCTGAATTTTTGTATCTCTTCTTCCATGTAAGGGTGACTGATACTGGCACTGGTTGATTCTCTAGTTCAGCTGCAGTGCCTGTTATGGGAGCTGGAGTGTACAGAGTGCCTGTCACTGAGGTTGGAGTAGCTGCAGCGCCTGTCATTTTGTTGTCAGATCCGGAGACTTCTCTTCCCCTTGGGGGTACTGAATAGTGTTGAACAGGTCTCAGTAGGCTTGGGCCAGGCCCCAGTGTATTGCTGTAATTTGCATCTGCCTGGAATTGTTGGGGTGACAACATACTTTTTCCAAATGTTCTACTAATTTTTCAGGATTCTGCACTTGTTCAAGAGAGAAATTCCAAAATACTGGAGGTGCTCACTATCCTAGGCATTTGGCACACCCTGCCACTCGTAACTCTCCAGCCTTGGGGCAGATCTCTGGGTGATACCAGATGATGAGACCCATCTGGAGTGCTGTGTCCATTTCTGGACAAAGAGACATGGCCATATGTTGTGGTTTGAGCTCACCCAGCCCGCAACAACATACCATGCAGCCATTCGTTCACCCCTACTCCATCCCCTGATGGTTGGAGAGGAGGAAATATAACAAAAAATCTTGAGGATCGAGACAAAGGACAGGGAGGGCTCACTCACCAATTATGGTCACAGGCACAAGACAGACTCGACTTGGGGATAACAATATCAATTTAATGAACAACCACCACCATCAAGGATAATGAGAAATACAATGAGGTCTTAAAAGCACTTTTCTCCCACCCCTCCTGTCTTCCCAGGCTCAGCTCTGCTACCTCCCCAACTCCCCAACAGCGGGGGGGGGGCAGGGAATGGAGGGTACAGTCAGTTTGTCACAAGTTGTCTCTGCTGCTCCTTCCTCCTCAGGGAGAAGGGCCCTCACAGTCCTCCCCTGCTGCAGCGTGGGGTCCCTCTCACAGCAGACAGTCCTCTATAAATTTCTGCAACATGAGTCCTTTCCCATGGGGCTACAGCTCACCACGAACCACCCCAGCACAGGTCCCTCCCATGGCCCACAGTCGTCCCAGGCTGCTGCAGCGTGGGCTGCCTCAGAATCGCGGTCTGCTTTGGGCCTGATCCCCTGCTCTGGCCTGGGGTCCTCCACAGGCTGCAGGCCAGCCTCTGGGCCACCTCTGATCTCTGTGGGCTGCAGGGGCTCAGCCCACCACCCCACCTTGGGCCACAGGGGAATATTTGCTCCAGCACACCTCCCCCTCTTCTTCCTCACAGACCTGGGTGTCTGCAGGGTTGTTTCACAACCCCCTCCTCTCTTCCAATCCAAAGAACAATGAAGAAAGAACTTGTTCAACAGGTTCTTTTACTCTTAGATAGAGTTATTCTAGAATTATTTGCAGAGGTGCCAACTGGCCTGACCTTGGACAGAGGCGGGTTTGAATTTGAGCCGGGGGGGACTTCTTGAAGCCTCTTACAGGAGCCACCTCTGCAGCCCCCTCCCCCACTACCAAAACCCTGCCAGACACCAAACCACTACACCATACTAGAGGATGACCACGAAGGTGGTACGGGGACAGGCTGAAGTACATGGCATATGAGAAGATGCTGAGAGATCTAGGTTTATCCAGCTTGAGGTAAAGAAAACTGAGGAGGGGTGTTCTTAACCCTAAACAAGGCTTGGACCACATTCAGGGACATTCTGGTTCCTAGCAATAGGACCGAGTTGGTTTAAGCATTCCAAGGACATTCAGATTTTTCAAAATTCTCAAACAGTTTTGTAATTAGCCTGGAGGAGAAGGGGAAGGAAAGTATCCCTCCCATAGATCTCTGAGGAGAAAAGGTAAAGGGTGTAATTATTAACAGTTTCCGATAGATGGCTCCCGAAGTACAGCCATGATGACAAAGCTGACTATATTTAAATAGAGAATTAGTCCCATGACTGATGATTTTACTGTACAGTAAGCTAGGGTACAGTAATGTGAAAACCTTAGTCCACCTCACAGGGATGCTAAGCAGCAGCCCAGGGACTTTATACAGCAAGTGAGGTTTTACATAACACAACTCTGAGAATGAGAGCCACAACTCCTAAGAGCCAATAAATCAGCAGCAATCAATCAGTAACTATTAAACTAAGATACTGAATGCTTATAAAAAAAACATTTTAACACATGCTGGTCAGATCTATCATTATCTCAACCCTTTGTGCCCTGTGTTAGGCGCCAAAAGGGACTGTTGTGGTTTAACCTCAGACAGCAACTAAACACCACACAGCAGCTCTCTCACTCCTCCCTTCTCCCAGTGGGATGGGGAGCAGAATTGAAAGAAAAAGCAAAACTCATGGGTTGAGATAAGAACAGTTTAATAACTAATATTATATAATAATAATAACAATACTAAAAATATCATACTACTATTAATAATTGTAATGAAAAGAAATATAATGAAAAGAGTTAAAATAAAATTAAAGAAAAGGGCAAGTGATGCACAATTCAGTTGCTCACCACCCAC